TTTTAAAATTTTATCAAAGTACATAAAAATATAATTGATATTAAAGACGAATTTCATTTAAAAACAAAAAGTATAGAGCAGCGTTTCTTAAACCTTATATCCCAGCGACTCACTTTTATCTTGACACTTATTTTGGCAACCCACCTGTTAAATAATGTTTCTAAAATTATCTATTACTATTAATAGTATTATTATAAATCATTATGATATAAAGGGCCTACTGTGAATCTTGCTGAGAATGTTGACAACTGTAGTTGCTAGACATTTTCTTTATAAACCCTATTTAGGTATTTATTTTTTAATAATCGTAGTGGAAAATTTATTATTAAACTTATACATTGTTTCCAATTCAACTAGCTCTTTAAAAATTATAAAATTTTGTAAGACTGAAATGATAAAATTTCTCCCTTATTAAACATAGATTTTTACTCCCTCCATGTATTTTAACATGTAGCTTTTATTCATAGCAAACGTTCTTGGCAGCATTATGATAATCTCTAGCGACCGTGGTGACAATAGAGACATATTTGCGTTGCGTGGAAATGACCAGAATCGAGTTAGGTTGGCCTGTTGCCGATACCTATTTTAAATTTTCAATCACAAAAACTTTATCGGCATACTACTACTCAAATTATTGTGGTTTGAAGATCCTTAGTTTAAAGCTATCAATAACGTTTTCGCCATACTACACAAACGGCTGTTTTTAAAACATGATTTGCCCGGTTAAGTTGCTCCTACTCTCCACTGGGAAAAGAATCACCTGAACTCGAGGAAATCAACTGTATAGTTTATAGTTGCAAAATTCATCCGCTCCCCCTGGTTTTGCCGAAGAAAATAGTCCCGATTAACAAAGATATTATGCTATAATTAATTATTAAAATGGTCATGGCTTTGGCATAGTGTAAAACTGTACATTTTGATTAAGTACACCAATTTATCTAAATTTAGGCCAAGTGAAATGCAGAAGAATTTCAGTAATAATCTGTATTTTTGTGTTGGCGGAGTGATACCGCTGATTTTGCCGAAGAAAATAGTCCCAATTAACAAATTTATCATGATTATTAAATTCTCTTGTGTTAAATATATTGTGTCTTGTGTTGTGTTAATTGTATATTTCAACACAAATACCTAAAAACTGACCTAAAATGTGTTTTATCCACATGTAGGCAAAGTTAAATGGAAAAGAATAAATTGTATTATTTATTGTTGTGTTAGCGAATCATTACATATTGCATCCAAATAACAGTATCAGCTGTTTGAATTTAATAACAAAAAAGAGAGGAATAATGGTATAGGTAGGAATAATAATACATATGTAGAAAATGTACGTCTAGTGAATTATTTAGCTTAAACTGTGCAGTGTGACGAAAAATATAGTTCATCACATGGACATAAATAGTCTTTTCGACCCTCGTTCATTTTACAACCTCGGCTTAGCCTCGATAGTTAAACTAAAAGAGTCACTTTAGGCCCTGCTGAGGAAATATAATATTACTGAACATATTTTAATTTACTTTCCCTTGCAAAATGAATGGTTAAGGAATAATGTTAGGGGAAATTTTGGTGCTCACTCGGATGTTTTGGTAATGAAATATTACCCTATTTCAAAAATTTTCACCCGAGCTGGGAATATGTCTAATGTTTGATCTCTTCTCCGCTACCCACCCATTTTTATTTTCACCTTCACAATGATGTAAAGTACAAAAAAGGTAATATTATTGATGCAAGGGCGAATTTAGTTAAGACACAAAAGTATAGATGTGAAAATAAATATAGAGGTAAGAACAAATTTATACTCTATAAATGAAATTCCTTCATTGTTAAGTATCGATTATCTTATATTTTTATGCACTTCTCAAATGTTTGAGAGAACTTTTGTAATGCTAACTTGAGTAAAAAACTTATTGAAGCTAGTGGGATTAATTATGACGAGTTGCGCAGAGTTCGGGCGAGTTCCAGGAAGACCACGAGGGTCCACGGGGGTCCAGGGCGGGGGGAAGACCAGGAGTTCCAGAAGGGTTCACGAGACAGGGTCGACCATACAGACTATATTCTCGATAACTGCTGACATGGCCAGACTGCATCAGTTTGGTTGAAGTTGTATTGAACTTTGTACTTTGTTACCTCTGTTGTAGTTTGAGTATATTGTCGACGCTGTAACAATAATTATAAATACTGTAGTTTAGGGCTTGCGTTCTTATTTATTAAACTCTGCCTAAACAAGTGGACTTTATAACAGAGGACCTCAACTTTATTTATATATTGTTTTGTAACTTTGGTTTTGAAGGTGCCACCCAAGTGGCAAAATGTACATGGAACTTACTTTTCACAAAACTGGCAATCTTAAAATAAACCTATAAAACTATTTTTTCTTCAAACTGGGGAAAATACATTAAATGTACTAGTGGGTTTTCGATTTTGTGTTTTATAAGTTTGGGTATGTTTACAACTTTTGACATTATCCTTATTGTACCAAGAATTGAAATTGTATTTCTATCTGTACAACTGCATTCAAACCATTGTATTTTCAGTACCACACCAATTTTCAATACTATTTGTGTAGAGATATTTCTGAAAGAAAAGCCAAAATGCTATTTTCGTTTTAAAAAGTATGCAAGTATGGCCTCCTAGTACAGGTATCTGTACCTCAAACTCCACTGTAAGGAAATTAGTTGTTTTCAACTATACCATATTTAATTTTAAACAAAAATGTGTATACTTGTTAAAATAAATAATTTCCTCAGTGACATATTTGCAAAATCATCTGTTTTATCAAAGAACAGATGTTAAAGGCGGCAGTTGGATTTCCCTATTATTGACTATTATTTCAATAAACCATAGTAAACATGCAAATTTTCCTGCCAGCCTCCACAAGAGAATTTATTGTAGTAAGGATTTCAAGAGATAGAGTAAAACTACAAACAGTCCTCCGCTGTTTTCTAAATTTAAAATTATGTACATTTATGTGATTATAATCCGAAATTATAAAAGAATAGAGGGTAAATTAGTATATATTTGTAAATTCATAATTATTATATATATTAATTGGAATGTGATTTACTTACTATGCATACCACCACAGTAACGCCACATATATGATCAGTGGAAAAAAAGAGTTCTTATTTCTACAGTGTCAAACTACTAACTTCTTTTATTGAATTGAAAATTCTTTTATAAACATTTTTGTTTGAATTCAATAAGACCATTTCGTGTAGAAAATGAGAATATTTTATCTGACTAGACAAACTCTGTCTAATTTGAGAGCAGACTAATTATATGTACCATTTTCCCACAGCAGCATAGTGGAACCAAAAATGACCTTTTATCTCCGTGATTAACATTTTTAATATCTAAGAAATAATATGGGAGTAGAATATTAGAAACAAGAGAATAGAATATTTTAGGAACTGTTCTCTCTGCCAAGAACAGTAGTTGTACTAAGAAAAAAGACACAATAAAATAAGGATGTTAAAAATAATGGTGCAGAACTAAACAGGTGGATATTCTGATAGTCTTGATTAAAACAGCTGTTACTACCAACAATGGAAAAAGCATGTTTATCTAAAATACTTTAAATTACATACAGTGTGTAAATTAAGTATGGAAACAAATCTGTATTTTTAAAACCGAAATAGATAGAAATATTCTATTTGTGGCAATAATAGTTGACAAAGATTCCGCAATTTTTCACATGAAAAATATTTTTTTACCCCCCTAACAGGGTAGGTGGTAGGGGGTGACTTATTTTTTTCAAATAGCAACCCCTATTGAGTGACCCCTCATTTTGAAGAGTTTGTCAAAAGAAACACAATGACGCAAATCCGAGGTGAATATCTCACTCCTAGCCCAAATGGCGGATATTCCAAAATTTGCTTTTTTTTTACAAAAATTAAATTTTTCATTACCCACCATTTAGGCTAGGGGTGAAATATCTACCTCGGGTTTGCGTCATTCTTTTTCTTTTAACAAACCCTTCAAAATGAGGGGTCACTCAATAGGGGTTGTTGTTGAAAAAAATAAGTCACTCCCACCCCCTACCCTGTTAAAGGGGTTGAAAAAATATTGTTGATTAAAAAAATTGCGGAACCTATGTCAACAATCAATTCCACAAACAGAATATTTCTATCTATTTCGGTTTTAAAAATACAGATTTCTTTCCATTATTTGTGAAATTGGTGCTTTTCACGTACAATAAATCAAATGTTGGAATATCCGCCATTTGGGCTAGGAGTGAGATATTCACCTCGGATTTGCGTCGTTGTGTTTCTTTTGACAAACTCTTCAAAATGAGGGGTCACTCAATAGGGGTTGCTATTTGAAAAAAATAAGTCACCCCCTACCACCTACCCTGTTAGGGGGGTAAAAAAATATTTTTCATGTGAAAAATTGCGGAATCTTTGTTAACTATTATTGCCACAAATAGAATATTTCTATCTATTTCGGTTTTAAAAATACAGATTTGTTTCCATACTTAATTTACACACTGTATTTATTTTATTTTGTAGTTTGTTTTGATATGGTTATACTTTGTCTAGGCTACTTTATTATCTATGATAGTATTGTTCATTAAATGGCTGTTACAAACAATACAAGTTGTTTTGCCGGTCGGAGGTTGATTTAACTGAAGCGGTTGTTCGGCGAATTCTCTCTCCCCAACATGAAGTTAGACAGATGACCCTTTTAAATATTTTGGATGTTTTTTTAACTGCCACAACGGCCCCAACCCGAGCAATCTTAGAATCACAAAACACATTTTTTTCTCTGTATGAGCCATTTAATAAACATTCTGTTACAGTAAATCAAGTAACCAAGGCTATAAACATAACCATACCAAAACTACCTTAACATGCTCTTTCCAATGTTTGCATTAACAGCTGTATTTTAAGCAAGCAGGAAATAAATATGTTTAGTTTTGCACCACTATGTTAAAAGCACTGTCCTACTACTTTTACAACAACACATAAAAGGCTGTTTAGTGGATAAAGAAAGCACAGGCGAAATATTTCAAAAGACAGCTAGTTGAACATTTATTGAGGAACACAGCCACACACACATAGTGTTATGTTAATGAAGGTTAGGTGTTTTAGGACAACAATCCACTACTTCCGCTCCAACTTGCTCGGTAAGTGATTCTGAAACAACAAAAATTATAAGTAAATAAAGTATTTTAGTTTATCCTATTTCCTAAACACGTTTAATTTAAAGTCAATTAGAGCGTAAAACATGTTTAACACTTTAAACAAACATGACTTACAACCATTAGGATTAAGGGATATGTGGTGTATATTTTAGATAAAAAATAGGTAAAGGTAGCAATCAATAAGATTTAAGCACATTGCACATAAGCAAATAAAAAAAAAAACTGAAAATTATTTATTTATATATAAATTACTTTCTGGCTATGAGACAGTGCCCTACTAAGTAGTTAAGGGCTGGGGTTTATTTAGGTAATGGTTGTAATCATGTATTCTTTAGTATTTAAGCACTTAAATAATTTATCTACAGTATTGTTTTTGAAATTTGAAAAACTTAACTCTTAAGAACTGTTGTCCAAAGGCCGTCCGGACTAAGAGAATTCCATGATAATGATAATGATTACATTATATTTTTATTTCTGATTTTTTTTGCTTCCTGATCACAAATTTAAATTATTAATCTCTAGAGGTTAAAATACCTTTAATCCATCAATGTGATCAAATGTCACCGATGAGTGGCGACCGGTTTCAGCCTAGCTGTGGGGCCATCTTCAGGCGACGAAAGAACATAAATATCACTACGAAGAGTTCGTCATAAAGTCTATACATACGTCACGAGAAACAACACATAAATAAATTATTTACAAAAACACGTGTGGCCACAAATTAACTGCGGACGGTACGCGTACATTAAGTTGCTAGTCCAGACTGTCGTCACTACCGACTTGTCCATCTGCCATCCCCCTCGGAGTGATATTTGTGTTCCTTCATCGCCTGATGATGGCCCCACAGCTGGGCTGAAACCGGTAGCAGCTCATTGGTGACATACGATCACATTGACGGATTAAGGGTATTTTAACCTCTAGATTAATTACATAATATGATAATGGATGATGATTCACTATATTAAATTTCACACTGTATCTATTCCCACATTAAACTACACACAACCACATTAAACTGTCTATGATATAATTAAACTGATTTTTGGATATTAAAAAATGTGTGTTTACCAGTATTTTGTAAAGTCTGGGAGGCTGCTCCATGATGATCACCTGTTTGTCATCAGAGCCCAGCATGTCATCAGGGAGATCGGAGTCTGCTGGGAGGATCAGCGAAGCCTCCCCAGATGATCTCCTGGAACTAAGATAAAACAATCTGTAATATCACAGTTGACTTTGTGAACAATACTATAAATGCAATAGTGCTAGTCTGTTAACAATGAATTTTAATCCTATAACAGCATTTTCCCCTTTCCCTCATGCTGCTATTTTATGGTAGAATAGCTTTTTGTGTAACTAGTGTGCGAAGTAGCACTTTGTACTCTCGTTGCGTTACACATTTTACTTTTCCTACCGTTACTATAAAGCATATACATATTTAGTCTTTCAAACACTATTCAATACGTTTTTAGGTTAGGTTAAATCCAAGCATTGAACAAAATGGGAAACGCTGCACCAGCTGATGTAGTCGTAGTATCTTTAAGTGTCGCTAGCTTATTTTCAAGCGTGCACGTATTACGTGCCTAAACGCACACTGTTTTGTGTCCACTGTCGCTTATCCTGGGTTGGAGGGTCCACTTTAAATAATGATGTTTTTCCATTAACGTTGTCCAACAATTCTATTAGCTCAGTTAAGAGTGGCACATATGCGATATATGGACGACCTACCTGAGATCTTCTGGGGATTCCTGCGCCACCTTTGGTATCCACTGGGACTCCAGTTGTCTCGGCGCCAGCCTTGATATGAACCATTGCGTGTTAGCCGCCCCACTCCGCTTCCCGTGTGCTGCAACATGAATACATAACCTTAGTGCTAGAGGTCATCGGTTCGATCCCCAGGGCTTATGACAGTTTAGGTTTAGATCTTGTCATCTAACAAAGGTTTAAGAGTACCGTCCCTACTTTACATTCTAGGATGGTTCTAGCTCGGAACTGTTTTACACATACTTCAAGCTAGTCTTAGAGGACGCGGAATTATCACATAGATGCAATAAATTGATGATTGGTGGGATTTGAACCCGGGAGCCCTGATCACTACCACAAGACCAGCTCCCCAACTGGAGTACTGTAGCAATAGCACTTAAAACAATGGTATTCTATTCCCTTCTAAATTCTCTTTTATTCTAAATTTAGCCTATTCCCTTTTTAAATCTTGTTATTCTCATAAAAATCTGTTTTATTTGCGAAATTCAATTTCCCATTGCAATCAAAAATGTTTAGACATTTAACCAAACCCATTAAATTTTATATACAGTATGTATACTTAACCTGGAATTATGAAATGTGATGTACACAGTAATTTTTTGAGCAGTCTATCTAACTATGCAACAATTAAAAGAACCACAAGTTGTTTTAATTGTTTTTAATTGTAATTTAAGTTGTTTTAATTGTAATTATTATAAACACGTATTGAAATATATGCATTAAGTAGCTTTTTATATAGTAGTGATTTCAACAATTGTGTTGGTAAAGGTGAGCCTGAAGGGGCAAAGTGATGTCCGCTATATTTACTCTATTTCCTTTTTGATTCCCTTTGAACAGATACTTCCATTGTGAAGTGTCATTTCCAATAACACATTTAAAACACCCACCCCTATTACATTGTTTTCGTGATGTTTTGATTACTATGCTGAGCAAGCTTTGGAATGACATCGGACTAATTAGATTAATTTTGGAATTACTGTAACACTTTTTGCTGCAGTACCATAATTATTCACTTATCCATTGTAGAAAAACTTAATTGAATTTTTGAATATTATAGGCATAAAGAATAATATCTAAATCAATAACATTTATTTTCCCAATATGTTATAAAATCGTCTATAGATGATAAAAAAAAATATTAAGTCTAAAATATAAAATAATAAACTATTAAATATTAAATATAAAAAATATTATTATTTATTATTTTTATTAATATTACAAATATAATATTAAAATTATTAATATTATTAAATATTAATATTTAATATTAGGTGAATTATTAAGGTGTATTGCTTATTATTTCAGTATTAATTTATGTGTATGTTTATATACACATAAATTTATTTTAATAATAAAGCTATGTGCTATAATAAAAGTATAACACGTTTGATGTGTTTTAAACTGTTTAGTAAAACACATTCGATGTTACTAAAACTATATAAGAGTGTTAAAATGGCTCATTCTTTTGGTCTTTGTATGGGCTTAGTCAGAATTCAATTCAACCAATGAAATTGCTGTAATCATATCAATTAAACAGTAACCACTCGATGAACAATGACGTCAAACAAACAGCTGATCATTTTATTGAATAGTAATGTTAATAGTGTTATTAGGTTTGAATAGTTGTCATTGCTAGGCGAATAGGTGTTTTGAAACACACGAACAGTCCAAGTCCAAGTGTATATGATTGTGGCGACTAGCGCCACGTCTGGGGGAAGTGCCTGATCGAACATTGCAATTTTGTACTCTATAGGTGATTTAGCATTTCCTATTCGATAAATTATGCTATCCAATCAGTATACATTTGTTTAAGCGAATTTCCCTATAGGGAAGTAGCTATTACTTTTTTTTAGTAGCTATTACGATTTACTTTTTCGTTTTGATGTCCCCAGAGGCCAAAAACACGATTCGTTCAAACTTTTATATATGTATATACATATATATATATATATACACGTCCGTGAACGCGATAACTTGAGTAATTTTTGTCCGATTTTGATGAAATTTGGTTTAAAGGTGTAAGGGGGGATAAACTTATACGAGTTCGCGAACCAGCGTGATCGGACCATGGGAACGGGGTTTTATGGGAGCTTTTATGGGGTGAAAAAATGGGTTTTCTAATTTTTGACCCTCAAACCCAAAATTTCCCAATTTCTCTCTAGACCTGTTTAAAGAGCTTAAAAAGACAAATAATTTAGTATATCAAAGTGTTTTCCTACGGTTATTGGTAATGGAGAAAATTCAAAGAATTCAAGAGAATATTGTAAAATGCTGTAGTTTGCTTGTTTATGGATATATTTTGATCAAACTTGGCGAATTTATTTATTTTATACTAAGCTATTAATATTTTACCAAAAAATACACTTTATTAGTTTCCTTGCATCAGCAAACCTAGGTGCTCATGAAACCTAATGTTATTTAAATAGATTTAATTGAAAATCAATTCCGACAAATAGAAATTCGATTAGTCGGCAGGTTTGCTGCGGCTGGGGTGTTCTATTTATCAAAGGTTGGTTTCACGGGGATATTTAATGAAAATAACAATAATCCTTTGCTGAAGACTTTTCTATTTATTTTTGTTGCATGTCGAATGTTCAAATCGTATAAAATATATCAAAAATAATACGCGTTTATGATTAAGCATATTTAAGTTAAGCTCAGAATTAAGAGCCCGTGGCAGAAAATACAGTGCAACAGTAAGATTGCAACAATAAAACCTGTTGAATGCAACAAAATTTCAAACAAAACAGCTGATTTGATTTGCAAACAAAGCCTAATTATGTAAATACACATATAAACCTACTTATTAAAAGCCATAAACTCGGGTAAATTGAAAACACCCGCTATATACACTGCTGTCTAGAACCTTACAAGGTATAAACTTGAGAATTATTGTCCGTTTCGAGTAAGGTTATTAGATATTGTTTGTTTAGAGGCGGGATCAGAATAGAAAAATTACCTTAATGAAACACCGTGGTATCTGCCCCCACTTCTCCTCCCTCTGAAATATTTCATAATCGCTGGGAGCCCGAGGACAAATGTCCCCAAAATATTACTTAAGACCTCTATTTTTCGTTTTAATCACCAACGAAATCCTGTGTTTCTGGTTACACGGGTTAGAATTGTAAATTGTCCGAACTCAATAGATTTTTAAATACAAATTAATTTTATGATCCTACTGTCTTAATAGATTTTCGGTGGTTAAATATATTTAAAACAACTATTTTCAAAATTAAACTTATATAATTTGATATAACAAATTTTTTTATAATGTGATAAAGTGGCTAAAATAACATAAATGTATACACAAACAAATGAAAATATTTTAAAGATACATGAACAACACAAGCTGTTAGAAATTAAGTGATTTATCGATAGTCAAATCGAAAGATATTTCTGTTACGTGTTGATCGAATAATAGTTGAAACAGTTAGTCGGCGTGACTGGAGAAAAAAAACTAGTTGCAACGTGACAAGAGGAACAAACATCTGAGCGCAATAGAATTATCTAAACTCCAGAATCTGTAACTGGGCAACTGGACTCACTGAAAATAGATTTAAAGGTGACTCCAGGTTAATATGGCCTAAACCGATTATAAATAGCAGGTAAAATATATACCAGTCTTAAAGTTGAGTAAATTAACATGAAAAACTTTTTAACATCCAAAATATGTCGTATTTTGTTAGTATGTAAAAAATACCAAGATGTTACAAAAATTAAATTTCATATTCCATACTTGGTGCTTATAATAATCGGAATAGGTATACCGAAATTGTATTGCTTATAACGATGCCATTTTTAATGTCATTCTTTAATTAAGAATCATGTTAATTCGGATTTATTATATACCTAAAGTACACAGTTTATAACATTTAGTAATATCTTGGGTATCTCGGTATACTTTGGAACCAAACAGAAGTTTCTTATAGGCAAATTGGTTCCGTAATCTAATATATTGAATCCTTTAAAAAGTTTTATTTTGAAGAGAAATTAAAAATGTCAAGTTTTATCATTATATTTACTCACCACCGTAGGATAAATTGACCATTTTCAATAAAACGTATAATTTTGGTAAAATGTCCCTTGATTCCAGATGAGAAAGGTTGTATGTAGAATCATTCATATTGCCAAGATATACTACGCCGACCTCGTGGCTAATGGAATTCTATATGTTGTTTGGATGGAAACTGGTGTGGTGACCATTCTCTACAATGTAAACAATATTCCCGAATTAATTAATTTTTTTTCATCGTGTCTCATGTAAAAATGTATAGTGATAAATTGGCTTAATGGAAAACATGCCTTTTAACCTGATTGGCTGTCCAGTGTCCGTAGTCTCTAGCTAGGGATAGTTTTTCAAAGATAATGTAACATTAGATTTGTTAAGTTTACAAAAAATTTTGTAAATAATATACAAAATACACTAACGGAAAAACTCTCTCTAACTCAACGATCGGGAAAATCCGGAACAAATTTATTTCGATGAATTCTTAAAATGTTGCCCACCCATTTGTTCTGTTACTTATAAATGATTAATATTCATAGTACACGGAAAACACATGTTATCAATAATTTAATGTATAAATAAATCAGACCTGAAGTTTAATGTGGAAATGTGCATAATTTCTACAACATTATGAATTTGATTTCATGTGTGTCTGGTTTGCATTTAGAAGTATACATCTCGAGTAATATTTTCAATTTTGGCGTTATTATAAATAAATAATGTATATAGCATTTGAATTGTTCCTTTCTGTGAAATATAACGAGGTTAAAAATAATATCTAACTTATTTTGACTTAACTAAACCACATACGATATATATACCTAAAAAGAAAATACAAATGAAATAGGAATATTTGTGATTGAGAATTTAAAAAAAAGTTTTACGTTTTAATTTATAACATTTGCAAACGCATTTTCTCTACAACAGAGCATTTTCGACTGCGGAGTAGCAACAAAAACTAATTAATTCCACCCTTTAAACATAAAGCGTGATTTATTAAGAAAATGATTACCCTGATAACTTATCAGTTCAAAACTGTTAATCAATGGTGTATGTTAATGTTTGCACATTGCGTAAGTTTTGACCATTTGGTGCCGAACCTGTATACAAGCATAGCTAACAGAGTAATTTTCTCATCAATGTTTGAAGGCTATCATTAGCGGAATCATTCACTGCCAAATGACTCTTATTGACGTTCCATCATTATTTCTTGTGTTGGCACCACTGAACTATACGCTCCAACTTCCCCTCCATCCACCTCCTAAATAAGTGATTTTAATCCATGGTCCGTTCATGTATCAAAGGTCATTCATTATTTCTCCATATAGTGCTGTGTATTTGTTGTAAAGTATACAGATATATGTGATACATTGTTTACTAAACATTAATGTGATGCATTGGTTCTCTAAACATATAAATTTGATGCATCTGTACTCTAAAAATATAAATTTGATGCATTTGTACACTAAACATATAAATTTGATGTATCGGTCCTCTAAACATACAAAATGTGATGAATTGTTCATCTAAACATAAATGTGATACATTGTTCTCTAAACATATAAATTTGGTGCATTGGTACTCTAAACATACAAATTTGATGCATTGGTACTATAAACATATAAATGTGAAACATTGTTCCCTGAACATATAAATGTGATACATTGTTCTTTAAACATATAACTTTGATGCATTGATACTCTAAACATACAAATTTGATGCATTGGTACTATAAACATATAAATGTAAAACATTGTTCCCTGAACATATAAATGTGATACATTGTTCTTTAAACATATAACTTTGATGCATTGATACTCTAAACATACAAATTTGATGCATTGGTACTCTAAACATATAAATGTGATACATTATTCCCTAAACATATAAATGAGATACATTGTTCCCTAAACATATAAATGTGATACTTTGTTCTCTAAACATTTTAAATGTGATTTATTGTTCCCAATAAAATACTAATGTGATTTGTTTCTCTGAAAATGTTAGGACGATGCATTATTTCCATAAATGTATTTTGATTTTTATTCTGAATTATGAGCTGAGTACTGATTACAATAAAGTTGTGAATTAACGTATCAGAAAAGCTGCATGAATTCATCTTTGACTTACTATTATTTCATATTCCACCCCCTTTCATCTAATATACTAAGAAACTAAAAAAGGCACTCAAGAAGGTAAAACACATTGGTCCAAATCGACCCACTTTAAAAAAACCTGGTTTCTAAAGCAAAATAAATTTGAGCGTGGGATAGTACATTAAAAACCGAAGAAATTACAGTTTGTAGGTAAATTTTGCAAGAAACACACTCAGGTTGGCAAGCTTGCTCTTATGTTATCAGATTACATCAGTTTCAGCCACAATCGTACCAACCCATTAGGAAAAATATAACCTGCAAAGTTTCATGTTACTGGACGCTCCAGACTGGAGCGTTAGTGTTAGCATGCTTACTTCGGTTGTATATAAAAATAACCAAAACAATAATAAAAGGGAAAAAATACAATAGCACTTGTCTCCTGGTTTTGCCGAAGAAAATAGTCTTGATTAATAAAGTATTATATGTTAACTAAGATTCTTTTATGGTTGATATGCACATTGTATTCTTCTCACCTATGTAGAAATTTAGATAGTTTGAAATGTAATAATACAGCAATTTTAAATTTATCATTGTGTTGGTGGAGTAACACATGTTACAGCTGGACAATGGGAACAGCTGTTTGTATATAATAGCATAACAAGGCGGAAGCCATTTTTGACGCTAATTTATAAAGTGAAACAAACAACGATGTTTACGTTTTGTGAGTTAAAACCTTAAAAAATACACAGTATTACGAAAAATATAGTTTAGGAGACAGGTTTTTTTCTATACTCACTCACTGCTTTACCTCGGTTTCGATTCGGTTTTTAAACTAGAGCTTTCAATCAAACGAAGCTCTCTAGGTCCTCTTGATGCAATACATGTTTAGACTACTGTAAATTATACATTCTCTAACTACGAATCAAAATTCTTTTCTTTTAATTTATAAGTGATTTAGGGTACCCATTTGGAATTGGCTCAATACAGTTTGTGACTTTAACTACTTGTTATTTAAAATTCAATTTTCTAATTCGTGTACAAATAAATTACCGTTGTTTCTTACAAGAAAAAACAGTGTACGAAAGGTTGTTACATTATAAATTATGTAATTCTTCAATTTTGAGCAGTAAAAGTCTACATTGATTTATTTACAAGCAGTGTTTATATTGACATTAACATATGAAAGTTGCAGATATATTTCAATGTTTTGATAGTTCTCCTAGATCAAGTTGAAACCTTCGCAAAATAACGGTTACGTATGAACGATAAAGGTTTATACCACTAAATAACTATTTATAAATATTAATGGATCAATAGTTTCATAAAGTAGATAGTGTGCAATATCACTATGAATTTAATTTTAAAATTCTGTAAACGAACAAACATAAACTAGATTAGTCTTTCACAACACAGTTTTAGGTTAATTAGTACTCAAGAACTGTTGTAATTCTGGTAATTTTAAATAATTGGTTCGTATCTCTATTGCAAATGTTTAAAAGTTGCTGGCAAACCGTTTGAATGTCGGAAACCGAATTAATTATCCAACATTTGTTTCAAACTCAATAAGTAACTTCACACCTCTGCTGCAACTATTGTGAAGTTACAATTTGTATGTAAGTAAAAAATAAGGTTTTTGGAAAATTTCGGTGTTTGTTTTTTGTTTTTAGATGAGCATGGAAACATGACATTTTGTTTTGTTCTATGTAAGATCCGTTTTAATATGTTTCCTAACATATTCTGTGTATTGTTAATCATTGTGTAGTAATAAAATATCTGGCCATCGCCAGGTCCATTCGGTGTCTCCCATACACAACATACAAAATATACCAAAATATCTTCTTATAAAGTCTTGGTGAAATTAAATAAATAGTAAAATAATTAGATGAGAAATGAAGAAACGACAAAATTACGAAATTATGAAACTATGACAAAACACTAATCTAATAATCAAATACTGGAATACTTATTATTGTAATTTTATTATCTTCAGTTGTGTTTACAGCTATTCAATTAGTCTGTTGGTACTCCCTGACAGAGGTTTTGTTTTTGTTTTATAGGTACTTTGCTATGAAGCTGATCTGTTTTTACAGGTATAACACATTGCCCCACACATACTTTGCTTATTAAGGGAACTACCCGAATATGAAGGTTTATGTGTATTGTTAATTTGTACTTTGGAATATATTATTTTTATTTCGATATTATAGCACTACTTTTATTGAAAAACGCTATTTTCATGGTAGATTTTGATTAAATGGTGCATTCGTTGTAATATTTCATAGATCATGTGGATAATCAATGTATTTGTACTCACCTCCCCAGCATGAGTGACCGTAGCTCAAACACGAGCCTGGAAACAAAATATCATCTGAGTAAACAAACAAAATATCTTCTCAGTAAACAAACAAAATATCTTCTCAGTAAACAAACAAAATATCTTCTCAATAAAGAAACAAAATATCTTCTCAATACAGAAACAACATATAATCTTAGTAAACAAACAAAATATCATCTCAGTAAACAAACTAACTATCTTCTCAATACTGAAAACCACATATAATCTTAGTAAACTAACAAAATATCTTTTTAATAAAGAAACAAAATATTATCTCAGTAAACAAACAAAATATCTTCTCAGTAAACAAAAAAAATATCTTCTCCATAAATAAACAAAATATAATCTGAGTAAACAAACAAAATATCATCTCAGTAAACAAACAAAATATCATCTCAGTAAACAAACAAAATATCTTCTCAGTAAACAAACAAACTATCTTCTCAATACAGAAACAACATATAATCTTAGTAAACAAACAAAATATCATCTCAGTAAACAAACAAAATATCATCTCAGTAAACAAACAAAATATCTTCTCAACAAAGAAACAAAATATCATCTCAGTAAACAAACAAAATATCTTCTCAATAAAGAAACAAAATATCATCTCAGTAAACAAACAAAATATCATCTTCCTAAACAAATCAAACATCATCTCTGTAAACAAACAAAATATCATCTTACTAAACAAATAAAACATCATCTCAGTAAACAAACAAAATATCTTCTCAATAAAGAAACAAAATATCATCTCAGTAAACAAACAAAATATCATCTCAGTAAACAAACAAAATATCTTCTCAATAAATAAACAAAATATAATCTTAGTAAACAAACGAAATATCTTTTCAATAAACAAACAAAATATAATATAAGTAAACAAACAAAATACAGTGTGACAATGACAAATATACAATGTTGGAAATAAAACAAAGTGTGAAAAATACATAAGACAAAATTTGAAATGTAACATTATGAACAAAATAGGGCACAAATACACAAACTAAGGTGAAAATAAAGAAAATGCCGCATACAAAGTAATATGAAGAAACAGTTACACATTACTGCCTTGATATTACATATGGTTTCTGTAAAACCCTTACCAAAACTAAGAACAAAGAATTGGTCACAATTTTCCAGTACCACTACCATAACTTTGTTACGTCTACCATTATCATTGTAATGTATCATCATTCAGTTACAATTTTTTTATCACAAACATGAGATGGTTACCATTTCTCCATTACCATTACTACCAATAGATATAATGATATTTATAATTACAACACTACCCATCACCATGAATCATGGTTTTACCATTTTACCATAGGTGTAAAATCTTATTTCCGTTTCAGAAGGGACACACTTTCAGACACGCACTCAATTCATTGCCTACATAAACCTTATCTGTCTTCAAGATTCGGTTTGTACAAGAGCAAATCCCTGTTTTCACAAGGGTCTTTTTATGGAGGCCTTTGCCTTTAACAGTTATTCTGAAATATAGACTGCAGCGTAATAATATCTATGACGAGGTAAAAAATGCTACACAATTTTCCAGGAATAGTATTTATGGAGCGGGAAATTATGAGTCACTGCCTTCTCTAGATAATTGGATCAACAGAAAAGTTAGGTTCAAGACAATTGGACGCATAGATAGAAGGCATTGCAGATAATATGGATTTGATCCTGGAACCTCTAGACGTCTCGGGATCGAACCCCTTTAAATTTTAAATACAAGGAAATATTTTATCACAATATTTGCAGAAACACAACTATTTTGGTAGCTTGATGAAAAACATATGTAGTTCATTAGAAAAGTTTGTTAACAATCCTTCTTCATTACTAATATATATATATATTTATAAATCTATCTATCAGGAAATATAAGGAAATTTACCTGTTCACTTTTTCTTTTCATGTTTTCTCCATGTGTGTGTTTGTATTCAAGACATTTAACAAAATCTCTATCGTATAACAACAATAATGTATATTTTGTTACGTATAATCTAAATAAAAAAATAAAAGCTTTTAAGTAATCTGATCAACATTTGTACAGCTAAAGAGCTAGCAGGAGTATGAGCTTTATCAAGAGGCTTCCAAACGATTTTGTAGACGACTAAGAGTTTTCTGAAATGGACAATATAAATGAGTTGGTTTAAACATATATACTCAGCATTCCAGATTTAAATAGTCTTTCATCATTTAAATGCTAATATCATGCATGCTTTAAGCAATCGAAAGAAGTCAATTAGCTTTAGAAACTTTAGAAGTCAATTTTTAATTTGAAGTATTTGATGATAAAACAGCATTTTATAGATACGGAGTTTGATACAGAAAATTGTAATATATTTGGGAGTTAACTCATTAAAACGATCACGCAAAAATATCAAGAGTTTACCTTGAAAAAAAGATACAATATTTTAGGCTTGATGTGAGCTTTTAACTCTTGTAATGTATTGAAGCAATGTTTACGAAAATATTAGTAAAACACAATCTTCTACTATAGCATCAAAGAAAAGAACTAATAACTAAGTAAACTTAATTTGTATGAAATTGTATTAAGTCTTTTATAAGATCAAAGAAGTATAACACTATTAGAAGATTAAAATAAATAACTTATTTTAATATAACAATTACTTATAAGCTATGAAAATTAAGGGAGAAATCAATGATTGAAATTCGCTTAACAGTTAGATCTTAACTCTGCGTTTAATATGGCAAAACTATTGATCCAAGCTGCTGGATTAACATCATGTCGTTTGGTTCCATTTTGGTAAAGTAAATTTAAAAAACCTTCTTTAGTCAACTAGTCGAAATATATGTTGTTTACAAGCTCTGCTTTTCGCAACACAACAATGAAATTCGCATGCAAATAGTAAGACTTGTCTTTGGAGCTACACCTTCTCAAACTTTAGTTGAAAACAATATTTCCTGTCTCATTTACATTTTTAAAGGGAACTAAAATGAATGAGCGAAAGCTGAGAGAGAGCGCTTATCAAGAGATAAGAAAGCGTAAGGTGAATTTAAGTACTAAATCAAAGTACTACATCGGTCACACTGGAAGATCCTCTAAACAAAGAGTTAAAGAACATATACCTAAAAGATCACAACACCAGCAATCCAGTTATGCAGAAAATTTAATATCGGAATCACACATCTCGAAATAGTTGAAGTATTACTAAACAGTTTTAAGCTTGATGTTAAAGAAGGATTCACAAAGCTAAAAAACTCGATCCTTTGAATGATCAGACTTCTTTCCAGCCAATTATTATAATGAATACATATATTGACAAGTTACAAATCAAAGAAGGATAAAATAAGAAGAACAAAACAAAGTGAAATACAGTTGGCATTGGAAAGAAGAAGAAACATGATGATTCAGTCAGTTTTATTTAGTCAGTGACAGTGATAATGCAGTGTTGGAAGGTCTGTACAGTTTTTAATTGGTTTTATCAATTTTTATTCCATTTTAACTATTTTATCAACATGACAAGTGTTAAAAATTGTGATTGTTTCAGTTTTTTTTACACAATATTGATTTAACACAATGAGTTAATACTTTGATGATGTGGTTGCATGCAAAATGGCCTAATGAAGTTCTATGGAACGAAACTAGTCGTCACACCAACAATTGTGGTTGGATAAGGTAATCGCTTTAATTTATCAACCCTAAATCACGGTCTGCTCCCACTCTCCCACTTTAAACTATTGTCTAAATAGTAGTTATCCTACAAGTGCCACTAGAGATCGTAGGATCCTAAGCTGAGCCGAGTAGACCCGACGATATCCGAATGATTCCGACTAGCAAGAATATTACAGGGTGTCCAAAAAAAATGAACAGCTTTGGAGCCTAATAAAATCTATTTAGAAATCCAAAGATAATTTTTGAAATCACCATATGATAGAGGAATTCATAAAGTTTTTTCTAACAAGATTTGCATGTATCAGCTGATTTATTGTTGCAAAGCTATAAAACTTCAAAATATAACCTGCAATAAGTCAAACATCAAATCATGAACGTGCAAGAGAAAGCTCAGTGTGTTGAATGGTACATTGAAACAAAAACATTCGTCTGGGGTTTTGTCAAAGACCAAGTTTACAAGTCATATTCTCCAATTTTCAGGAATTGAGACCGAGAATACATGCAGCCTCAGCATCATCACTGATGAAATGCGACATGGAGTGTGGTCAGAGTTAGATAACCGCATGACTGTCTCTTTGCCAACAATGGAAGCCATGTTATTTTTTTAAAGTTAAACTTATATCCAGACTTAAGAATATGTGTGTTACTTTACATTTATTAAAATTCGTATAAGCCTGTTAGCCTATTAAAATATTTTCACTGCAAAACAGTTGTTCAGTTTTTTTGGGACACCGTAGTGAAGTTCCAGCTGAATGAAACCCTACAGATGTTTTAGGACTATGTCCTCTTCAGCCCTGTTATTCAGCTGTTTGTAGAAAATAGAAATCTTAAGTTATTGTTTAAATCGATTGTTTGGGTCTTCAATTACTCAAAATATCATCTTACTTAAATGGTGGTATTGGTGTTGTATTGTGATTTAAGTGTTTGTTATATGAGATTAAAGTACGTTAGTGTCATGTAAATGAGTTGTAGAATGGACGGATAGGTAAATTATATAGACAACTAGAATTAGATCTCAGATTCATACATCACTGACAAAACAGAGTGTATTTTAAGGGAGAGATCAGTGAAGGGTGAGATTTAAATGGATGAGATGATGGCTTTGTTACTATCCAGCTGATCAGCTGATCTCTAAGTCAGGAAAATTTACTAAAACCCAAAGATCAAATTCACCTGGTCCAGTTTCGAACATTAAAAATAATCCGTCTTTTCTCACGGTTGAAAGGGTAATATCTTTACCAGACGATTAACATTTCCACAGAGTTGCATTTATAAAGTATCTGTGTTTCTAAAAAATTAAAACAATTTATTTTATCTCAACAATTAGTTAAATCGGTAATGTAATTTTTGTTACATACATATCGTTAAA